GTTTATTTATTGATGATATATCATACTATAGAGAATCAAATCACTGGCCTATATTTACAGTTGTTGTTAGTCTCATTGATATAGCTTTATTGCTTTTTACGATTGTTATTAATAACGATATTGTTAACATAAAAGAAAATCATTTAGCTGGTCCATCAACATTGACTTTAATACGAACAGGCGCCAAATTTGTGCCGTGTCCTACTATTGATAGTCTACGATATTCTTCAACTATTTGTTCATCTATACCATTTTCAAATGGGACATGTCTATATGATGATCTTCTTAAATATCAATGTAACGCTCAAGCTTTAGCTGTAGAACAATCAAATGAAGTAAGAGTCAATGGAAGCCAACAGAAAGAAAGAGAAGGACAACCGATAGTCATGATATCGCCAATTGTTGACGTAGATACTCAACAACAACAAACAAAAGATGCTATAAAAATACCGAAAGTAAATAAAAGTAGTTTGATTATCGCCACTCCACGTTCCGGTAGTGGTCAAATTAGTTACTTTTTGGCAAAAAAATTCGTTGGTTATTTTATTTCAACTTTTTTAGAAACGTCCGTTAGTGCTCAAACGAATGATGAATCGAGAGGAGCGCGTCTTGATTCTGGATTTGAAAAAATGAGTTCATTTCAAACACCTAATGGCAGTGGTACAATTAGTGAACAGCCGTGTGAAAGTATGAGACCACCGGGAAAAATTTATTCAATAAGTAAACCTGGGAAGAAACTGAATTTTTCATTGCTTGTTGATGGTTCAAATGCCTTACGGTCGTCACATCCAATGAAACAATTGAAAGATCAATATAATGATCTGTATGTTGAGCACTTCCAACTACAAAACAAATACGGAAAACTATTAGATGATTATAATTTATTACGTGCAAATACGCTACGTAAGTACTGAGCTCTATTGTGTAGCACGTTATTCTGAATCTTTCCTTTCTTTAAAGTCGCTCCTAATGTTGAAGCTATAGAATGGATATGTGAATTATGTAACTTTTTTGTTCGTGAAAAAGTAACTCCAGAGCAGTCGGCTGAATTTGAACAGCTGCTCGGTTTAGATGGTGATTTACTGTTACATTCATGTCAGAAAAGAAGTATTACCAGTGCTGCTCGTGAAATATTTCGTCGAACTCATCCCGATAAAGAAAAGAGAAAAAAGATACAGCCAACGGATGTTTCAACGGTGTAGAAAGATGCACTTGCCGGTAAGCAGAGCGATCGGGCATTTTCTCGTTCGTCGGTGCGTACGGACAGAAAATGCTGGGAATGAGCGACAAGAAAAACGAAAACAGATGAATAATGATGACCATGTTAGTGTTAATGCAGAACCACAAGGTGATAGAAAAAAATCGAAAAAACGTTAGCGGTTATTTGAACGTTAATTTAGGTTTGTCAATTTTCTCTCGGATGTTTTTGTGGTTTGGGCTGTTTGTATTGAAATTGCATTCTTTTCCACCTCATTTTTTAGACTGATAGTGTGTATACTCTCGCTCGAAAAAATACTACAACTGCTTCTGATATTCAAATGAATCTCGTTACGTTGTATGAAAACTTGCACACGAAACGCAGTCCGATCAGAATCATTCAAACAATGTTTGTTTAATCTCGTCTACTCTCCGCAATACTCAATTTGAACAGGTGCAAAGCACTCAACTGATTCTAAATATAGAGTTAATATTTTCGATTGGTTTTAGTCTGTTATTTTAGTCATGCTTTTTCGTTTCTTTCAGTATACAAAACATTGACGATTGGGGTTATCTAAGAGATGAAACACAAAATTCGAACATCTATGAACCCTCAGTGTAATGCACGAACTCTAAAACTATGAACATCAAGCTAACTGTTTTTTTTCCATTTAGCTGCGAAAAATCGACAAATGATTTAGAGTCTCTTCCATTCGTCTCACCGTTGGAAATAAGTTGTGCTGTGATTCTATACAAAGTCCGCCGCAACATGTCTGTGAATGCAATCGACGATTTATGCACATTAATGCGCTTATTTGAAGTTACACAATGTCCTGTTAGCTTTCGAGGAATCAAATCAATAATATCTAAATCAAAAACAAATCAGAATCTTCAAGTTCAAAAATTATCGTTATGTGGCATATGTAAATCCATTTCTGACTCACCGAGCTGTTGTTCGAACAAACGTTGCACATTGTAAAAAAATTAGTTTAATTGGTTATAATTAGGTTTAATTGTAAAAAAATTAGTTCAGGAATTACAGGAACAAAAGTCATGGATAATTTAAAACTAAGCGCTTTTTCCAGCTTTGAATTTGTTCAGTCTGCACATATTGATAAGCGATAAAATGAACAAATTGTTTGGTTTTGATAAGTTAATAGAACGACAATTGCCACAAGTGGTGAAACATAGTTTGATGATGCCAGCCTTTGCGTTTTAAACTTGATTGCAGTTTTATTTAGTTTAAAAATGGCTAGTATTTATTTGAGCAATAAAAATATTGGAATGAGCAATAATTAAAATACGAGTTAGCAATAATTTTGAAGCAAAAAAAAAACTTTATTTGAGCAATTTTATATTATTAAATGTACCATAATCAATTCATTAAATAGCAGTAGTAATTTCATATTTGCAATTGAAAATTTTCCTTTTTTTTCCTTTTTTTCTTAGATTCTAGCTTAAATCCTAATTTAATCTAAACTTTTTATTTTCCCAACAAATCGAGCTAGCTCATTACATGTTGGTTGAAGTTGAACAAATGTGAGAATAATAACAAGAGAAAAAAGAACAACAAGTAAAAAACGAAAGAAACAAGCAGAGTGATGTAAAGTTAAAAAGGAATTTTATCACATCAAGGGAAACGTTTTTGTTTCAGGAGTCTGCTAGGAGTACAGTTCTACTTTGGTGAGAAAAGAAGGGTCGCACATCATTAGGTCCGGCGAAAACGTTCTGCATCCTTTAAAAATTTTAAAGCAGAACGGTATAGGATTTTAATTTTATCTTTTTCGAGAGATAGCATATCGCTGTTTTTAAAAAGTAAATGATCTATTGTTATGTTAGTTATTTGTAATATAGTTTGAAACGTCTTTAACAGTTCTGAACGTTGTGCTGTATACTTTGCGCAGAAAAGAAAAAAGTGAGATGCTGATTCGCTTTTATATCCGCACTCACACTTAGGGGCAGCCACTAAATGTCTTTTAGCCAAGTCCTCATTCAACTGTGTGAAACCCAATCGAAAACGTGAAAAATCTATTTCCAAAATTCTGTCGGTCACAGGTGGGAGATTCAATATCTGCAAAAAAGGTTGTTTCATTTTAAATTTAAATGATGCTGAGTTTTTCGAATTTTTTACATCGATTGGTAAGCTGTTCCATAGTTGTATGGTAGATGGTATAAAACTCTTTCTAAGTACAAGCAGACCACCATGATGAGGCGGTAGCAGTCCTGTAGAGCGTGTTTCTCGCAGAGCGGTTTCTTAATACGTCCATATAGGTCTAGAATGACAAAAAATACTCTTTCTACTCTTACACTGTCAAAATGTAACTTCAAATTTCTCGATTAAGATATTAG